AGAGAACAAGAAAGGAAAGGCATGCAGTGAAGGAAGGCAGGGAGCCACCAGCAGGGCACAGAACAGGCCCCCGCCTCACCTAGAGACTGCAAGATCAGGTGAACGAAGTTGATCTTCTCGTCCTCCAGCCCCCCGTGGGGACTCACGGCCACGTTCATGTACCCGTACCGGTGCTCGTTGCACACGTAGACCGAGACCCCTGCAGGAAAGGCCGAATGAGAGCCAGCAGGGCAGGGCTCGGAGCATCTGGCTGAGAGCTTGAGGGCCGGGGCTGCTGCTACCCCAACCGAGACTCCTGTGGAGCGTGGGCCCTACCTGTGGGCTGCAGGGTCAAAGGACTTGGTGCCCATGAGGATGGCTGGAGTCCTGCTTCTGGGCAGAACTGTGTGATGCTCCTGCAGGGCCCTGGCGCCTCGCTGCGTGATGGATGGAGGTGAGGAAAGCGCCACAGGATGGGGTGAGCAGCACAGCTCTGGCACCCCAGAGCCATCTCTCTGCATCCCCACTGTGCAGCCTAACGCAGGGCCAATCAGTTTTTTTTGTTGTTGTTGTTGTTTTTTTTTTTTTTGCGGAACCAGGGATTGAACTCAGGCCCTTGCACTTGCCAGGGAAGTGCTTATTGCACTGAGCCATCTCCCCGGCCCCCAATCAGTTTTTGTCCACAGCCCTACACTTCCCTTCCCCAGTGTATCTTCCACACCATCTGCCACCTGCCAGCCGCAGTGGCTTCTTCTCCGTAGGATCTGTCACCTGCACTAGAACCATCCTCAGGGACAGGTGCATGCCATCTTTTTCTTTTTCTGTGTGTGATGCTGGGGGTTCCTAGGAGCCTCCCAACTGGGCAAGAATTCTGCCACTAAGCTACCCTGCAGCCTCCAGGGTGTGTGATGGGGTTGTTTTGTTTTCCCTGACCGAGAGGCCTCTAGGCTAAGCTTCTAGAGCACCCAAATCAAGGATTCTCCTTCCTGGCACAGCTGTGACTGGAAGGGAGGTTGAGAGGACAGGGACTGGCACAGGTAGCTGGTCCACAAATGCTTGCCCAGTGAAGGAATGCATGAGGGCACCTAACCCACCAGGGCAGGGGTGCAGGCAAGGCTATGACCAAAGGACAAGCGGGTATGAACGGGACAGAACACAGAGCAGGAAAGAACAGCATGTGCAAAGGCCCTGAGGCCTCAAGGGACGCACAGGGTGCAGGTCCTCACCAGCTGCCTCACAGGCGTAGGCGAAAACGATGATGTCATCGAAGGGCCATGTGTAGTTGGGGTGAGGGGGGTAGAAGGCCAGTTGGGCTGTCCCCTCTGCCCTCAGGGATACCAAGAAGGTGGAGTGGACCATGGGGACCTGGAAGCAGCCCCGGCGCTGGCGGTTCTTGGTGGGAAAGTAGTCAGCCGTGCGGCGGTAGTAGCCCTGGGGACAGTGGACACTCTGGGCTGCAGGACTCCCCTGCCACAAACCCCAAAGCCTGCAGGGTCCCAGCGGTGCTGGGCCCCTCCCGGAAGCCTGGACTGCAACAGCCCACCCCCCTCACCTGAGGAGTTATCCCACACCAGAAGTTGGAGTAGTAGGTCTGCGAGTCCAGCATGGGGGCCACCACAGGCAGCCCTTGCCCCGTCAGAAACCGCAGCGTCTGGTTGTTGGTTAGAATATTGTCGGTGTCTGCAAACTGTGGGCGGAGGGGGACATCATGGGCCTGGGCCCTGGTGGGCTGCAGTCTCCAAGGAGGTAGGTGGGTAGGGGTCCCTGAAGGCAACCAAAGGCCCAGAGTGGAGTCCCCTTGAGTTCCGGCCACCACACTGGGAGAGCTGCTCATCACCCAGAATCTGGCCCGGGCACGGGCCTTGGGACCAGACCTGAGCAGCTGATCTAAGCCCTCCTCTGAGAGCTGGCTGAGGGAGGAGGTGCAAAGACCTGCGCGCTAGTCCAGAGACCTCGATTCAGTGTATTCTGGGCACTCCCAGGAATTTAGGCCCAGAATGCACCCTGGAGCCTGTCTCCAAGAGTCAGGCTCATTTATGTATTTATTTATTTATTTATTTATTCTTGTGGAACCAGGAATTGAACTCAGGACCTTGCGCTTGCCAGGCAAGTGCTTAGGGAGTCAGGTTTAGTACCTAGCTTCGGACTCAACCACATGAGTTGGAGCGCAAATGTCAGGAGCCACATTAGACACCTCATGTGGCCCAACACCAACACTTCTATCAGGGTCTCAGTTGTAGCCCTGACACATCTGGCTGGCCTTGAACTTGTGGTGATCCTCCTGCCTCAGCCTCCTATGTGCTAAGGTTATAGGAGGTTACAGGCCTGCGTCACTGCGCCTGACTCAGACACCCAGTGCTAAACCAGGCTTCCTTACCAGGATATAGTCGGCCCCCCAGTCCCTAGCAAAGGTCAGGGCTTCCTGCTTCAACTCCATCAGAAACTGGTGCCTTTCTTTGGTCCAGTGCTTGGGACCCTCTTCATCCGGGTAGGGCCTGAGGGAGTAAAGAAACGAGATGTGCCATGGGGCAGGCACAGACCACCTGCTGCCCTGAAGGGCTTGGCTCTGGGTGCCCCTTGTCCCCTCTGAGTGACTGCTGTCCTCCTCCCTCCCCTCAGTCACACCTGGGCTCGCCCTCAGGCCTCCAGATTACAGCTGCATAGTGGTGGCCCACAGCAGCCAGCCACTCCCGCAGCATCGCTGTGGTGTTGTCCATGTTGTGGTCTGTGGCACACCTGGGAACATGGGAGGAGAGAGGCTGAGTGAGGGGCCACGGCACTGAACCCCAAGGCAGCCAGGATGACACACGGCATGGACACCTCAAGGCTGGCTGCTTCTGGGAACAGCACCTCATCATTACCCTGGGACCAGTCCTGTGCCCTCCTCAGACATGTACATCCCTCTCTAACTGTAAGCTGCCCTGCCTGTCACAGCCCAGACTAAAGAGTGCATCTTAATGCCTGTCGCCTTTGCTGATTACTTTCCTTCCTTGCTGTGTGACCCCAAACCAGGTCCTTTCTCTCTCTGAATCAGGACTAGGTGCTTTCCTCCTTCCCCACTCTGTCCCAGGACAGAACCACACACTGTGCTCCCAGAGAGTGTGAACAGCCCTAGCTCTGTGGCTACAGGGAGGAGAGCTTAGCCTCCTCCAGCCTCCTCCAGTTCAGGAGATGTTGTCCCTTTAAGCCAGTTCCCCACCACAGCAGACGACAACGTGTCAGGGCTTAGGGGTGGGCGCTCACCACTCCCCAGCTGTGGTGACTGTGGGCGTCTGCCGGCCAGCCCCTCCCAAGCCGGCTTTGGGGCTTCCCAAGGAGTCTGTCATTCTATGTCAGCCCAGCCTCAGCCCGGCTCCTCCCTGTTTGGCTTTCACAGACTGGGGTTGTGGCCTCTGATGATAGTGCCCCATGGGGAAGCCGGGGTCCAGATGAGGAGGACGTGGCACAAGCTCAGTGGGAAGGCATGAGCCAGGCTTCCCCACTGCTCCCCAGGAGCTTCCAGTCTGCAGGGACCCCAAGGCACCCCAGAGCGTCCAGTTGCTCCACTCCAAACCCAGCCAACCGCAGGTCCCCCAGGGATTCCCTTCGTCTGGGGTGAAGGCTGGGGCAAGAAGGTCTGGGACCCAGTGACCCTGGGGCAGGCCCAGGAGGAGGTGTAAAAGGCCAGAAGGAGGGTCGGGGGTCACTGCATGGATCTGTGGTCTTCCCTGATCCCCCTTCCAGGGGAAAGGGGTCCTGTCCTGGGCTTAGGGTAGAAGAGGGCCTGTATGGGAAGGGGCACGGGGGGGAGGGGGGGGGACTGTCGGTCTGAATGAGAGGAGAAATGGGGTCACCCGCGAGGTTAGGGGCTGTATGCCCAGAGGGTCCCCAAGCCCCGTCGCTCACCAAAGGGCCAGCCTGGCCCGGGGGTAGTCCAGCCGCTCCAGGGCACCCAGGTAGTGGGGTAAGGAGTGCTCGGCATTACGAGCCAGGATGGCCAGGACCACGGAGGGAAGTGGCGGCTCAGCGACCCCTGAAGCCCGCAACTGCGGCCCCACCAGGAGCAGCAGCGCGAGCAGCAGCGCCGAGCGCATGGCTGACGCGGGGCTGCTGCGGCCCCCCGCCCGGGCCCAGGAGGGAGTGGGCGGGGCGGGCTAGGGGCGGGGCCTGGCGGGTCGAGGGGCGGGTGGACGGCCGCTCCCCAAGCCCGTACCGGGTTTTCTCCGCCACTGCCAGAGCAGGAAAGCAGAGAGGTGGGGGCTCGGGGAACGGCATGGAGAACATGGAGTCCTCGCACCCTGAGACCTCAGCCCCGGAATCCGGACTCTCTCGATCCTGATTCCCTAACCACGCAGTTTACACGCGGGCCTCGGCCGCAAGCCCGAGTGCGTCGTGCGGCAGGACCCATTTGGCGCAGCCGTCCTGCAGCCCACTATCGCCTCTGCCCCGGGCGCCCTCTGGCGGACCTACAAGGCAACTTCGCAGACGGCTGATGAGACTTCTGGGCTTACCCGGAAGGCCCCGCTGGGGAAGGGGGAGGACAGGGTCGGCGTTCTAACCTGGGGCGCCGCCATCCCTCAGCGCTGCTCGCTCCTCGCTCCTCGCCCGGCGTCCCGGCACTTAACCATTCTCGTCTCCTCACGGCACGAAGTCTCCTCTTGCCCTTTAAGACAGCAAACTCGGCGCAGACTGAGAATAGGATCTGGGGACACAGAGTCCCTCATAAGACCCAACTCCTTTCCCCGAAGCAGAGGGACTGCCTCCGCTGGGGCAGGCCCAGGTCGAGGACCCTGCTGGGTTGGAAGGGAATCTCTAGACTTCCTTAGGAGGGGTACAAAACAGGGGAGGGGCCCCCGGGCGTCCGAAGTGGGTCCTGGCTGGATATCTGCTGGGACCTCCCATGGGTCACCCTTCCTGAGCCTCAGATCTTCACGGGCACATCTGGCTGAAGACACCACCTAACCGCAGGATTTGCCCGTACTCCTTGGGAGAATGAATGCACCGGAAGCTCAGGGTTGGCAGACAGAGCTGCAGAAGAGAGAGCTCCCCCCGCCCCCCACCCTCCCTGGCAACTGGAAGATCTGGGTGACCCTTCTGCCTCTTCCCAGGGCCTAGGGGTGGGACCAATCAAGAGCCGCACTTACCCACTGAGCCGCCTGAGGATGCCTTCTGCCCAGGAGTCCTGCACTGGCCTGGCCCCGAGCCTCCACCTGGGTCCATCACAACTTCCGGCCAGTGGCCCTGAAAAGAGAGTCCCACAGTCCATGGAGGTGCAGAGGGCCGAGGAGATAAGCTCAGTAGAATAAGCGCTTGCCTGGCAAGTGCAGGGTCCTGAGTTCAATCCTCGGTACCACACACACACACACACACACTCACCCACACAGTGCCATGGAGGTGCAGAGGCCACAGCCCAGCAGTGAGAGCCTCTGTTAGAGAGGCAGGCCTTCTCCCAGGGTGAAATCCCCCTCTAAACCCAAGCAATATCCACCGTCTCCAGCCAAGAGTTGCCCAGAGCCTCTGCCTGCCCTGTTGATCATGGGATGCTGTGGTGTGAACATTGTGACCGCAACATCCATAAACTTAAACGTCATCATCAGTATGGCAGTATTGAGGGGCCTTCGAGAGGTGATTAAGCCAGGAGGGAGATTTGTACCCTTATAAAAAGGTCAAACACGTGGCATGGCTGAGTCCCTGGGCTCTGTCCCCAGCACTGAAAAAAAAAAACTGACTGTGAGACAAATAAAAACCTAAATAATAATAAACCAGGTGTGGTGGTGCCTGTAGTCTAGCACTTGGGAGGCTGAGGCAGGATGACCACTGAGTTTGAAACCAGCCTGGGCTACAAAGTGAGCTCAAGGGCTGAGCTGCATAGTGAGACCCTGTCTCAAAAACACAAAATAAATAAATAAATATGCAAATAAATATTATCCAGTCAGAGGTGCTTTGTAACAGCCACCCAAAGGAATGAAGAGAAGAGACTCCTACTGGCCCAGAGGCCTCTCCTCCTTCCAATGCCACTCCCTTTCCTCTTCCCTCCCAGGCCCCACAGTTCTCACCCACCCTGCAGGACGGGAGATCCCATATCCACTTTGCTTCAGCCAGGTTCCAGCCCCTCATCTTCACCCTCAGCCGGCTCCCTGCATCCTGTTCTCCCTGTTCTCCTCAGCAGCTTTCAAATGCCCTAGGTCTTCCTGAGCACCCAGCCTGTCCCCTTCACCCAAGGGTCTTCTGCCCCCTCTGGATGGAGGAGAAGACATCTGGAAACTCATTTCTCCACCCAAATTCTCTTCCCAGCAGGCACCAAGTCAGCTTCTGTGCTGCCCACCTGTGGCAGAGCCCCCCTACCAGATCAGCCCCAGGCCCTCCGTGTGGCCCCCTTGCTCTTCTGTATCCCAGGCTCCCCTTCTCTGGGCCCTTCCTCCCCAAGCCAAAGGACTTGTGTCTCCCCTAACTGAAACTAAGAAAACGGCAAGGCGCCTACGCGGTCAGCCTGCTGTCTCTCACTCCACGCTTCTGAACAGGGATTCTGGACCCTGCTTCCTGTTTTACCTCTGTTCACTGCTTAATCTGGGTCAAGGCAGCTCTTACTGGACTGGTGTCCTCCAGCCACCCTGCAGGGGACACTTCCAAGAGGCTTGCCATGCAGCTTCCCTTCTGTGGCAGACTGCATGGACTAGTCCCTCCTTCTGGAAACTGGACCTGCACCACTGCTCACCTGGGCCACAGGCCACCCATCCAAAGCAGAAGCCGGCCTCCACTGCCCGGTCAGCTTCCCAGAGCCTCCTGCATGACCTCCTCTCTCGCTCCTCGCTGCTCAGCTCAGGACCATGCAAGTGGACACTCCCACTGCTGCCACGACCACCAGTACTACCACGAGTACTACCACTGCCAAAAATGGACTCTTGGGGGCTGGTGAGATGGCTCAGTGGTCTAAAGCACCTAC